CCCTCGCAGGCCGGCGTGCACAGCTCAGAATCCCACGCTCAGGCTCTTGTCCGGCTTCCAGCGGACTCAGCCTTTCGGGCCGCAGAGCTTTAGCTCCAGCCTGTCCCTTCGTGGGGACACGCCACCCCTTCACACTGCCCCTGGCCAAAATTTCCATTTTGGCAGCGGGATGGTATGCCCAAGCTGCAGCTTTTTCCTGGTTTGTCTTTGTAGTTGTGGGAGCTTTCTGTTTTCTTCCTTTCTTTCTTTTTACTATGCCCACTCATTCAACATTCTCACCATATCAGGAGCGGCAGAGCTGGGTGCGGTACCCGGGTTGTTGTCACTCGGGCTGTGTGCGGAGGAAATGGCCCCTTCCTGCAGCCTCAGATCGGGTTCCCTGGTCACTGGGAGCTGCCGGGAGAGCTCATATTCCCAAGTGTCCATCCGGGCAGTTCTGACCCACTTTGGGGGTGATTCCCCGGGAAAAAAAATCTACCGACGCAGTGAGGCTGATGCTGCAGGCACAGCGCTGCCCTGTGGGTGCCAGCTCCTGTTCCCCATTGGGCGGTCTGGCAGGGGACGAGGTCTCTGAGTGTCTGTAGAAAGGGCGATCATGGGGCGGTGGCGGCTGTGGAGCTGGCAGCTGTGGGGCTGGCAGCCGCCTCAAAGAGGTGCCGGCTGCGCCTGTCCCCACCCCGCCAGCTCCCCACAGGGGATTGCTCAGTGGGGCCATGGAGGGTGACAGCCCCTTGCTGCTCCCATAGTCCCTGTGCTTGGCTAGTATTCCCGGGGGCATTCCCAGTGCTGGAGCATGAGGCTGGCTGTGTCCAGGCACTGCAGCCAGCCAGTCCTGCTGCAGCCTGTGAATACAAGCAGGAGCCTCTGTCTCCTGGGTTGGTGCATGGAGCTGCTCCTCACAGTGGGGTTTTATTGCCACCCATCCCTTGATATTTGGGGGTTTGTCTTCCTCGCACCCTCCTAGTGGGAAGCGGGGCTGAGAGCTGCTGAGGCAGCATTTCCTGACTGTGGCGATGGAGCAGGAGGCCTTTACCAAATGGAAAGAGTGCAAGGCCAGGCGTCAACAGGCTGGCGGAGGGCCAGGGCCACTGCTCCTGGCCGGCCCCAGCTCCCAGCCCTGTGCGTGGGGAGCCTGGGAAAGGGAGGGCTCTGGTCCTGCCAGACTCATCTTGGCCAGGCGCCAGCCTGCCGAGGGCGACTCGCTCCACTGCCCCCGGCACTGTGCTGTGCATCGGCTGGGGGGGCTCCGTGCTCGGCTTCAGGCTGCCCTGTTGCACAGGGCCCTGGGGGCTCCTGCAGGAGAAGCTCCCGGCTCACTCCACCGCCTCTGTAAACAGGAAATCCACAAGCAGCTCCGATCTCCTTTTCGGGAGTGAAGCCGCACAGGGCATTCCTCCCCCTTTACTCACTGCTCTGCAAACCCCAAATACCATCCCTGTGACAGCACGGCTGCTATGGCCACCCTGCCCCAGCGAACGTGCCCTGTCCCCCTCCGGGGCGGGAGCTGGAAGTGTGAGGACATGGTGGGGCTGCACATGGCAAGGCTGGGAGAAGTCAGCATCAGACAGCCACTAGGGATGGAGATAACCCTATAGAGAGGCGAGGGAACGCATGGTCAGGCAAGCCATTCCAGTGAACATGGGCTTGTCACGCAGTGCCAAGGGGTGTTCCAGATGGTAAACAGGAGTAATAATTGAAAATACTTTTTACAATTTATGTATTTGACATGGGATGACTGAGAGGTTTCTGTTCCCCCAGGCTGAGGCTGAAGTGGCTTCCCTCAACCGCCGTATCCAGCTGGTAGAGGAGGAGCTGGACCGCGCCCAGGAGCGTCTGGCCACTGCCCTGCAGAAGCTGGAGGAAGCTGAGAAGGCGGCTGATGAGAGCGAGAGGTGGGATGGAAGTCAGGTCACCATGTGGGAATGGTGTCAGGTCACCATGGACTCCAGACAACCCCCTTAGTTTTGCAGTGGGGGTCCCTCTGAGGTGACCTTGTTGGGGTTTCTGTTCACTTTCCTGCAGACTTCAAAGGGAGAGAGCAAAGCCACAAGGCAAAGAAGTTCCCCAGATACAGACACTCTTATCCAGAGCACACATAACATCCTGAAAAATTTTATCTGGTATTTATAAAAGCACCAGACTGTAACCAAAGCCAGAGGACGATATGAGCATGTTTTATTTCCCAGAGCAGCTTAAGACGCTCAAGGACAAAATAAGAACCCAAGAGGAAACCTCTGTGCTGGTAACGAAGGTCAGATTTGAGGACTAGACAGCCTCATTCAAAAAGACTTCTAGAGGGCGTATGTTGCCCCATCCTCAGGGCAAGTATGTTTCCCAGACTGGAGCTGTGCAGGCAAGGACACTCAGTTTGTATGGGAGCACCCAGCATGTTACAGTGTTCCTGGCAGTTATGTGAGCTCTTCCCTCATTGGCAAAGATCAGTTTGAGCAACAGCATTTGAGTGAGAGGAGGAGGGTCTCCTTCTGTGGGGGTTTGGTAATTCCCTATTTGTGAGCATCACCTTGAATGAAAAAGGCTTTGCCACAGGATGTTTTCCAATATTTCCTAAGGGCTTCCAGCCTGTCAGGCTGTTTTTGTGGAGGTTGTGGCTCATCCTGGGCTGGACACCTTTTCCCACCAAACATGGAGTCAGAACCTGCCTGGTTGAGTGCCACCATAGATATACCTCACTCTGGAACATAGCCCTGAGGCCAGTTCCACTGTAATTCTCCACAGGAGCATTTTTAGGGTACTGGTGGTGTGATCCTACTGTATGCCATCCTCCCTGAGCAATGTCCCGTGTCTCTGAAGCTAGAGGGTGGTGTGATTAGGGTACAGGACGTGCAGATGGGCAGGCAGGATGTGCAGATGACACTTTGACCCACAAGCGGTAAAATCTGGCATGATCTTTCCTCAGAGGCATGAAGGTCATCGAAAACAGGGCCATGAAGGATGAAGAGAAGATGGAACTCCAGGAAATGCAGCTGAAGGAGGCGAAGCACATAGCAGAGGAGGCTGACCGCAAATATGAGGAGGTGTGTACCCCATTCCCCAGTCCAGACACCCTGGCAGCACCCAGAGCCATCTCTTTAAAGCCCTATGCCCCCAGCTGAGGCAGACACAGGGCTAACATGGGTCACTCGCTGCCATCAACAGGTTGCCCGCAAGCTGGTCGTTCTTGAGGGAGAGCTGGAACGCTCCGAGGAGAGGGCAGAGGTGGCGGAGAGGTGAGCAGGGCTCCTGGTGGGCAGCATGCAGGGGCCCCACACAACCCTTGTCCCAAATCCCTGGCAGATATGGGGAGGGGGATGTCTGTCCCTGGAAGCAGCAGGGTCTGTCACTGGGGTGGTCTTTGGGTTTGCAGGCTGGGGTAGGGGTGTGCCAACCCACTGGCATCATATCTTTGACCCTGTTCTCTGCTGTCCCCCTCCCGGGGTGCCCCTCTACCACCCCAGCCGAGTGAGACAGTTGGAAGAAGAGCTGCGGACCATGGACCAGTCTCTCAAATCCCTCATTGCCTCAGAGGAAGAGGTACTGGGGCAGGGGCATGGGGCGATGTGCAGCAGCCCCCTCTCTCTGTCGCTGTCTCTCAAACCATGCGAGCCACCTCTCTCCTTTCTGCACCACTGCCTCCAGCACCAGCCTCCCCTTGCCCACCTCTCCAGCAGGTGCAGGCCGGGCACGCTCCTCCATCCCTCCATCCCTGCTTCCCTGGCGGGGCCAGCAAAAGCTTGGCTGGTGGTGATGCACGAGGTATCTGTGCAAGGAAGCACAAGGAACGGATGAACAGATGCGTCCTGGCAGCTCCTGCTCGCAGTGGTTCTGCTCCTGGTCCACCTGCACTGAGTTTTCTCCTTTCTCAACTTGTTTTCTCTCTTTCTTTCCTGCTTCCCCGTGCCTGTTCTTTCTGCTCCTGCCTCTCTCCTGCCCTCTGGCCCTGCTCCCCCCCTCCTGCCGGCCCTGCTTGGGATGTAGTAAATGTGGTGACCTAGAGGAGGAGCTGAAAATTGTCACCAACAACTTGAAGTCCCTGGAGGCCCAGGCTGACAAGGTAGGACCCAGGGAGGCTGCTAGGGTTGGGAAGAATGCGTGGGGTCTGGGAGTGCTGCAGTCTCCTGCTGGGGTGAAGGACAGCTGGAGGCATGCCTGGGGACTCACAGGTGCTTGTCTCTGTCTCTGCAGTATTCCACCAAGGAGGATAAGTACGAGGAGGAAATCAAGCTTCTAGGGGAAAAGCTGAAGGAGGTAAGAGTTGGAGGGCTGCCACAGAATCAGTGCTTGCCATCCTGAATGGATTTTGACCCCGTTATGCCTGTCCTCTCACAGTTTCCTAAATTGCAACCCAGCATCATAGCAGGTGGTCTGGGATGACTTTCATTAGTCTGTTTTGATTTAGGGTGTGAGGCTTCATGGAGCCTTCTTGTCCCTTGCCTTTCCCATGAGAGGGCTTCTGGAAGAGGGTGCCAGAGATGCAAATGGGGCAGATTTGGAGTGCAGTGCAGCCTGTACCACCCACTGTGAGTCCTGCAGCTCACCCTTTCCCTGCTGTGTTTCCCACAGGCTGAGACCCGGGCGGAGTTTGCCGAGAGGTCTGTGGCGAAGCTGGAGAAAACCATTGATGACCTAGAAGGTAAAATGTCCCCACCAGCCCTGTGTCCTTCTTTCCTGGGGTGGCACTGGACACACCATCCCCCTGGTGGGGCTGGACAGTACTTGGCCAGAGGGAGGGGTGGTCCGGATTTCTGGGAGCAGAGTGGCTGGATGCTGCGGCATCTGGTGTGGGAGCACAGAGCTCCTGGGGTCTGGGCCCTGCCCTCGGGTAGGCAATAGGGTCACATCCATGCTGCCTGTGCCCGCACACCCCTGCTGCCCTCAGCCCGCTGCTCACAGCCACTCTCTCTCTCCACCTTGTGTCCTCCACTCTATTCCACCATCTGCTGCCTGCCTGCCTTCACCTGCAGATGAAGTGTATGCGCAGAAGATGAAGTACAAAGCCATCAGCGAGGAGCTGGACAATGCACTTAATGACATCACCTCCCTCTGAGCCCCACGCTGGGCACCAGCACTGCACCTGCTCCCTGCCTGTCACTCCCCAGCTCGGCTGTTTGCCTGCCTGGCCATCCCACCTCTCTCCCTACCCTCTCTGTCCTCCTCTGTCCTACCTAGCCTGTGCCTGTCCATCAGCTCCTTTGGGACAGGAGCTGACCCGGGGTGTTCCCGCTGTACCCCTCTTTGGGGAGACAAGGTGTAGGTGCTTAGAGCTGTTTGTTCAGGGCAGGAGAGCAGCCCCACATACTGACTGGACAGTGTAGTTGTAGGCCCATGCCACAGCATTGCCCTGGGGATCAGGACTGTGCCCAGAAGCCCTTTGTTCCAGCAGCTCCCTCCTTGGCTCCCCAGCAGCAGAAGCACTGGGGACCCTGCAGCTCCAGGGCTTGGGGGCCATTTCCCCCCCCATATACTTCCAGCAAAGTCCCCTGGTGCTGCTTGCTGGCCCCAGCATGGGGATGACCTGCATTGGGGAAGCGGCACCTCCACTGCCAAAGCTCAGGCCTGGGGGATAGAGGGTTGGATCCAACTGTGCAGACACCTTGTTCCCCGGCAGGCAGGCGACCCTCACTCCTCCCTCACCCTTCTGTCCTTTGCACATTGCTCTTCAGTTTGCATCTCATGACTTTTCTTTTGTGTTCTGTCCCTCTGGGTTAATGAATTGATATCAATAAAATTGTAACATTGGTTTCTCCTTTGTTTTCTTCATGTCACTCTGTCCCTCATCTCCTGCCTGTCTCATGTGGGTGCTGTCAGCAATGTGGTAGGAGGTGGTTGCAGACAGCTCACAGCCACGGGCCCCCCAGGCTGACTATGGCTGAGACCCAAGAGGCTCCCATGCTGCCAGGCTGAGTGGGATGGGGCCATTGTGCTGACCCTTACCATCCCCTGACTCTCGTACGCAGCTTTCCCCATCTCATGCCATCTTCTCCATGAGTCTTTTGGTGTGAAATGTCAGGGTTAGACCTGGTCCTGTCCATTCCCTGTCTCTACTCTCAGACATTGCCTACAAGCAGCAATCTCATCCCTGTCATAACTCCTGCATCACCTTCTCTTGGTGAAGAGGCTCATGCTACCCTTCAGTACTGATCTCTTGTGATCTCTAAATTGGTCTTGATCCACCTCCTCCTTCCTCACCACCCTACCCTGTCCCAGAACCCAGTTTCCAAATTGGTGGACCTACAGCCTTGTCCCTGCACAAAGACTGGCTGCCTCCTGCCAGTCCAGCTGTATCCCACCACTGGCTGGGTGGCTTGTGGTGTTTCCAGTGAAGGCTTTCAGGAATGCTGTCTCTTTTCACTAACTCACTTTTTTCTCTCTCTTTCCTGTGCTGCGTTGATGTCTCTCCATTTTCTCTAGAGCGCTCTCAGCAGGAGGCCGAGAAAAACCGTGTTCTCACTAACGAGCTGCGGGTCATCCTTACTGAACTTAACAACTGAGCTGCCCAGAGCTCCTGGCCCCGGCCCAGCCTCCCTGCCCCATTTTGGCCAGGCTGGCTCCAGGCTGGGAGCCCCTCCCCGCTGGGGTGAGGCAGGGTGTGAAGCCTTGCCTTATCCTCATAGGGGTAACTACCCTGATTGGGCAGGACAGGGCGCCCCTCTGGAGTTGATCAGTTTTTGTGGGAGAGATATGAAAGGTTTTGGGATGTTCCGGGATGCCCATGTAGTCATGGATGTCCTCTGGCATCATCCTGGCTCTGCTGGGGAGGGATGTGGTGGTTTGTACTGCTGCCTTCCTCCCCTTGTCCTGCGAGTCAGTGGGCAGCCTCTTCCTCCTCACTCTGGTCACCCCAAATTGTGCAGGATGGATCCCCTTAGAAAGAGGTCCTTGGAGGGTGCTGGGAAGGTTGGGAAAAGAGCTGGGGATCCAGCAGCACCTGCTGCCCCAAACTTGGGACAGGGAAGAGGCTAGCAGGGCACACTGGGAGATGGGGCTGGGTGGACAGCAGTCTTGTTCCATTCCTGTCTCTGGGGGAAGCAGGATGCCATTTGGAAGTGAACACCAGAGGGAGGCTGCCTTGGCAGAAGGCTGCCTGGCAGAGCTTATCCTTGTAGCCTTGTTAGCTCTGCTCCTTATCTCTGTTGTCCTCTGCCCACTCTCCTGGGCTGTTCATGGGCTGCTTTCTCACTTCTTTTCTTCACGGAGCACTGCTGGGTCATGCAGCAGGCATTGGTTCTCCGCTTCTGCTGGCCAAGGGTCTGTGCACATGCCTGCAGCTGGCCAATGGTGATGCCCCAGTGTCTGGCCAAATAATGGTACTCGCCAGTGGCACCTGTGCTGCAGAGTGCTCAGCCACGGGCAATGGGGCAACCTGGGAAGATGGAAATGCTGAAGAGTGGTAACTGCCTGTCCCAGTGACCAGTGTGACTGGCCTGGCTTCCCTGGCAGATCCCAGAATGGCCGGACTCATCCCTGCCAGAAATGGGGCTACCTGTGTGGACTATGCTCCACAGGGGACGCCCTGTTTGACTGGGGGCTGTTGCTGTACTGAAATGTCCATCTGTGTGTGTGTGTGTGTGTGTGTGTGTGCTTGTGTGGTGTGTGTGCATCCCGCTGCACCTGGGTACATTTGGTTTGTGTCTGTGTGCGTGGCTGGGTGTCCCTTGTATTCACAGAGAGCCTGGCCAGTGCCAAAGAGGAGAACGTGGGGATACACCAGGTCCTGGACCAGACCTTACTGGAGCTGAACAACCTCTGAGCTGCCCTCGCAAGCCCCTATCCCTTTTCCCTACCCAACACATGCACCCCACTGGCATGCTCAGGATGCGGTCATCGGCTGAACTGCATCTTGGCCAAACCCACACCTCCATTGAGAAGGGAAGCTCAGCAGCCTTGCACTGTTGCTCAAGGGGATCTTGTTTGTGCACAGCCTAACTGGCTCTGTCCTGTCTTTATGTCCAAATATTAAAGCAGTTTGACAAGACTGATGGCTGTGTTTGGTCCTTTGAGTGGGTACAGGCACTGGGAGAGGAGACGTGGGTCTCCCTCCCCAGATGATGCATGGAGGGTCTACAGGACCTGTGTGGCTGTGGGAAGGCTTGGAATGATAACCACATGGTTTGGACTGTGTTCCCTCATCTTCATCACTTGCTTGGAACACAGAGGAGACCTCAGGTCTCAAACTCAAACTCACCATCCTTTTCAAGTACACGGTGATAAACCATGTCACTGGTGTGTCCCCTTCCACAGTCTGCATGCTACTGGTTTGGCAGCTGGGGAAGCCACAAGGTTCTTGATATCTCCATGCAGGGTTCATGTTTACGACAATGAGGAAACACACAACCACATGATCATGCATGCACACGTTATTAGTTGTCAGGGTCTTCTCCAGGTATGGGATTAGCTGCTCACCCTTTGTACTAGTTGCAATTTCTTTTGCCAGTGACTGAATGCCTGCCTGAGGGACAGCTGTAGAAGCTAGCAAATATTAATGCAGCAGACAAATGTTCAGGAAGTTTCTTCCTGGCTTGCTGTACTTTCTCCAACTCAAATTGAAGAGCAGCCGGATGTGTCTCATTGCTGTTACCAAAATGGGCTGGATTTCCTGGGGATGCCCAAAGCCATTATCTAGTCCTGCCCTTCGCTTTGGGCCCCTCTATGATGTGGACCAAGCCCTGTTGTCCCACACTACCCAGCGGATATCCCTCTAGAAGCACATCCACACACTGCCAGGAAACACAATTCATGCTGACCCCTTGTCAAGCCAGACCCAGCAAGAGCCTGACAGGGCTTTTGTTATCTGCTTTCCTTTATTTGCTGTGCCTCTCGGGCAAGGAAAGGAGGGTGTTGAGATCGCATCTCTTTCCTGCCCAGGTGCTGCTGGCCCTCCGCCCTCTCCATGGCCCAGCAATTCTGTTTTGTGGTTCTAAGGCCTTCTACAGCAGGGAAAAAAAGCTCCCTGTGTATGCAGTGCTCATCTTCAGTTCATCTTCCCAAGGTTGCAAAGTCTGCTGCGAGCTGCAGCCTCCCACTCTGAGCCTGGAGGAGCTGGACGGGAGGACAGTACACGGTATCTTGGACTGCTGAGCTGTTCCAGCGCAAGGGCTGGAGTTCCTCCTTGGGCCCGCCTTCCTCTTCTGCAGTGCATCAGCTGAGCCATTCTGTTGTTTAGTCAAAGCACCTTCCAGGCAGGGGCTTGTCTGGCTTCAAAACGAACCAGCATGTAAAAGCACCTCTTCTCTGCAGTCTGCACCCTGCACTGCAAACAAGCCTGCCCTGTGCCCCGGTCAGGGTGCGTCCCAGTGCCCAGCCTCTGGGCGCCCTTCGCCTTCCTGCTGGGACAAAGAGCCCTTTCACACCCACTGTTTTTTCCCCATTAGCTGCTGCTGCTGCCTCCTGGTTTGGACCAGTCCACTTGGTTTAACTGTTTACACCTCGCTGCAAGGGGCTTTTTATTCATTTGAATGGCCTGTGATTTGGCAGTGGGATCCAGACTGCTGTTCCCAGGTGATGCTCAGCCTGAGAAAGACATGAGCTATGTCATGGTTCAGCAAAGCTTTGCATTTCCCCCATTCTTCCACCCATCTCCTTTCCCCTGTGGCTTCACAGAGAAATAGGTGGGCCAGGGAAAGTTCTGGGAGCACGGGGCACTGTGGAACTGCTGGCACGGGAGCATGTCTCCCCACAGATGTCACAGCCCCACAATGAGAACTGAAGCGCCTCTGCCCTCCTCCCTTCCTGTCTCTCCACCTCTCCCATGGAATTTCAACCTTTGGATTTCTTTATTTTGGCCTGGCAGACTGAAGATCTCCCCAGAGAGTTTTCAGCCCTGCTGTTGGTTGCCACCCCACTGACATACAAACACATGAACTTTCAGCAGCCTCTCCCCTCTGCTCTCTGCTCCAGTTTTCTCATCTCTCCAGTGCCTCATTTCATCTCTGAATCCTTGCCGTTCAACACCCTTGAACTACGTGGTGGAGTGGGAGGACCACACAAAGAGCATTTGAGATACTTTGATGAAACTTGTCAAGCTGTGCAGAGCCAGGCACAGACTACTGCCACCCCTCAGTCTCTCCCTGCATCTACAGCTTTAGACACTGGGGAGAGGGCCAGAAAAACTGTGTTGCCAAATCGTGAGGGTTTTGCAAAGCTCTGGGGGATTTCAAAACAGGTCAGGCCCCCTAAAGCCAAGTGCCACATAAATCTCCCAGTCCCCAAATCCATATTATTGACTTGTCAAAGTCCGCAGAGGACAAGGCAGCTGGAGGGAAGCATGGATGGCCATGACCACGTGTTGCCTGGGAGAGTGGAGTGTACAGTACAGGAGCACATGTGGCCTCTGCTCCTCTTGCTCAGGGGATCTGGGAGCAGCACTGGAGCATCTCTGCTGCAAGACAGGCCTACGACAGGGTGACAGGCAGAAAGGGACTATTGGGGACAATTCATCGCATTGGTTTAGCAGTTGTTAGTGACAAGGTTGATTTATTGCCTTTCAGAGCAAAAGAAAATAAATAAAAAGCACTTGTTATCAGGGCTGTGTTATGCAATACCTTTCTTGCAGGATGTCTCCCCTATGTTGTTTATTGTCTTTGTGGATTGGGCTAGGATCATCATTTTGGTGATCTGCATAGTATTATCTTAGAAGATGATAAAATTACTGGTCTTGATTCTATCACGCCGGTCCATGCTTCAAGTGCTAGGTAGGTCCTGCTTTAGAATCAAGAATAGCTGGGGTCAGAAGGGATCTCTAAAGATCATTGCCCCAATGAGGAGGGGCACTCTAAACTAAATCATGTTACACACAGCCCCCTCCAGCCTTAGCTTGAATGTCTCCATTGGCGATGGATGTGGTGATCACAAAGATCTGAGACCATTGTGGGCACCTTTGAACTTCTGGTCATTGTCCTCCTCCTTGCTGCTGCAGCTGTCCTGCTCCCTGTAGCTGGCAGAGGCATGCTTCCTTTGTCTGTCTGTCCAGCCAGCAGCCCACAGTGACCCAGACCAGGGCTGATACAGCACCTTGAAACAGCCACAGCTGCTGCACTTCAGAAAGGAGTGGGGCTTCCACAGTGCCCCTCTTTCCCTCTATCACTTGCAGCAGCCAAGTCACCTCATGATGCAGATATTCCTCACACACTTCTTTCCTTTTGCCTGTGTCCATGTTGGCCTGGTCAAAGTGCTGCAGTCTGGGCTGGATGGTCAGCAGAGCCAGGAAGAACACAAGTCTTGGAGCCAAGGCCTGGTGGATGGAAAGGGAGCTCATCAGGTTTGGGTGGGAGGCAGCAGGGCACTGGGAACACCCAGGATGTCCCCAAAGCCTCTCTGAGCACCTGCCACCATTGAGAGCCCTAAGCTCCTTGTCCAGTCCAAGCACAGTTCTGTGGCCTGTCCTGCCCTGGGGTGCTTGCAGTTTTTTCTCATTAGAAACACTCTGGGCATTGCCCCCATCCCTATCCAGCCCAGCATTCCTCTGCATGCACGCTCACTGCTCAGCAGAATCCAGGTGTGCTGCGGCTGGTGATGTCCCTGGTGACACCTCCTTCTGTGACCCATCCTCCTGATGTCGCAGCCACCAGAGCCACATCTCCCAGGATGGCAAGCCCCAGCCTTCATCTCCACCCCTCAGTGGGTCCTGGCCATCCTTGCCAAGCTCCTTGAGGCTGTCTAGGCCAAGCAGGCAGAACCCTGGGGCTGTAACTGTAACTAACACAGGGGCTCTAAGTGGATGTCCCCCGCTTACAGAGTGAGGTGTGACTTTGTCTGGGCCAGGTGGGCTGACTCTGGGCTGTTTTTCAAAAAAGTTATGAAATCTTAGGCAGGGACAAAACTATTGCCCTCTCTCCTCCTCTGTGATCCCTTGTGCTGGGGGCACGACTTGGCCGTGTAAACCCTGGTGATCAAGCCAAAATATCAGTGATGTTCCCTGAACAAGTGGAAAAGATCCTGTGATTCTCACTTCCAACTACCAACTTGCTGGCTGCGAGGGTAAGCCATGAGCTGGTGGGGATATGCTGGGACCCACATCTCCCTGCTCCCCTGGGATTCCCCTGCTCCAGGAGAGCCCTCTGTACTCCATGTTGGAGTGCTCTGCTGTGAATTGTGCCTCCTACAAACAGCGCCTGTTTTCCATGATGTAACAAAAGCTTTTCCAGACCCCTCAAAAGCCTTCTCTGACCTTGCTACATGTGTGCCAAGACTGGCATGGGCACAGACTGTTTCTGCCGGGTCAGCAGAACTCTACACCCAGTGCTCCTGTCCAAAGTTTCCCGGAGGCAGGAAGGGTGTGTGTTGGGGTGTGGGTGCCTGTAAGCGGGAAGCGCCCTGAAGTGCCTTTCCGTGTCAACCTCGTTGAAATGGGGCTGGACTGGAGGTGCCAAGCGGAAGGAGCACAGAACCACCGAGGGCGGGACAGTCTGCACACCTCGCCCAGCCCGTGCTCCTGGGGGTGCCCGTGGGGTCGAGGCCAAGCACCCCTGGGCACAGGCTGCGCCCCCACAGGATCACGTGGCCT